TGTCCATACCGACAAAAGTTTAACATTTATATTTGTATGTGTGATCTAAGCAGCTTAGCTCAAGCAGGCGACTCTTACTGTATATAAAAACCAGACCAGGCGTCTGACTGGGACTGTGCTTTTAATTGAAGTTTTACGGTTTACATGTTATCTCAGTCTCAGTGTTGTTTTAGATGGTTTGTGGTTGGTTGGTTTTTATTAATGAGTGAAACATTTTGGGTTCTGCTCTGCTGTCGGTTTCATAGCGTGGCTGGTGTTTAAGGGAGAGCGGGGTTCACTATTACTCTCTACAGTATAGTGTTAATTTTGACAGCCATTTTAAAATTTAGTCTTAGTCCTGTGGCAAATGTCCTTGTTAGTTTTTGTCATATTTAGTCCACTGTATACTATTTTTTTTTAGTCAAGTTTTAGTTGACTAGCTTTCAGGGGAGCTCAGTTTTTTCCCGTGACTGGGAGGAGGGGGGCCAACTGTGATTCTTACAGCTGAATCATTAATAGCTGCAAGCATGTAGGCCTGGGGCCGACTGTGGAAGTATCAGGCATGTTTGTCTTACTATAGTTCTAATAATAAATATTAAATTTAGCCATTTTGCTACAATTACGCTTCACAGCTGTGTTTGCGACCTGACCTTTCTTTTCTTCGTGAGAGGAGTGTGGTGGAGCAGGACTTGTCTTCGTCTCGTTTCATCAGGGTAAATAGATTATTGGCGAATATATTTTGTTTAGTTTTGTCTGACGAAAGTAAAACTACTACAGTATAACTATATATATTTACCTCCAGCCTGTAATGCTGTTAGATTAGAGCTGCAGTCATTTAGGAGAAACATGTTCACATTTAGGAAAGACGATAATGACTGAGGACATTTAGGGCTACAAACTAACTTCGTCACCACCTTCCCAAAAACTCACAAGATGGAGCACTGACATCGTTCACCAGCAGCTCACTGACGAGGCTCCCTGCAGACACTTTGTTTATCTGCCTCGTGATTAATCGGGTCCTCGCTAATTAAATGTATATATTAACCGTCTGCAGGGCTGAAGGAGACGACGGAGCAGCTGGTGAAGAAGAAGTTGGAGGGGAAGGACAAGCTGACGCCCTGGGAGGAGTTCTTAGAGAAGAAGAAGAAGAAGAAGAAGAAGAAATCTCAAACAAAACAGGTGAGTGGAGCCCAAAGAGGACCGCAGAGGTAACAGGAAGCTTTTTTGGACTGTGAATGTGTGGATTCTTCCTTTGTTCAGTTCTTACAGTATCTTAGAAAACACATCGGCTTCAAAATATATTTTAATATAATCTACCTGAGAAAGTTCACTCTGCCAGCGCTGCTTTGATTGAGTGTCCTCTCTGTAGTTTCATTAATCACTTTTTACTCTTGTATCAGGGAGAGAGTGAGGAAGAGCTCAGCGATGACGAGCTTCCCCCAGACGTCAATCTCAGTGACCCCTTCTTCGCCGAGGAGCTCGCTACTACAGGTGATCAATACTGTCTATTAATCAATCAGCCAATCATAGTGGGGGGTTTGTAGCACATCTTTGTTTCATCAACTGTTTTGCTCAGTTTAGTATGAAACTGATGTGTAGAGGTGCAACCATTAGTCGATTAATCTGTTAGTCGATCGAAAGAAAATACATTTTCAATTATTTTGATAATTTATTGATCGTTTCGGTCATTTAAAAAAAAGAAGTCAATCATTATCTGGTTTACTTTTCTGAAATGTGAGGATTTGCTGGTATTTTTGTCATGTATGAAAATAAATGAAGTCTGTTGGTTGGACGATTTGAAGGTGTCCCTTTTCGGCTCTGAAATCTTTTTATATAACAATTTTTTTAAATAGACTAAACAATTAATCAGTAAAATAATCTGCAGATTCATTGATAATGAAAATAACCGTTAGTTGCGGCCCCCAGTGAGGCAGAAGTGGAGAAAAGAACGACATGAATGTGAAACCATCATAGCTAAAAGAATACAGACACACTGCAGAGTTTATATATTCAGATACATCAGTGTTGTTTTCTCTGTCATTTCTTTAAAATCATTTTGTGGATGTTTGCACACTGTAAATCTGGACTTTCTGTAAAACTGTTCCACACTGGACAGAGAACACATCACAGCAGCTTTTGTTTATGGCCAGTAGCAGCTGTTCATGCAGATGCAGCGAGTCAAGTTTTAAAGCGGCGTCTTAAAGACATCCAGGGTCCTGCAACAGTGGAGCAAGTCTGTTCTCCTGTAGCACACTCGGTTGTTTGGGAGGTGTGTTGCCAACTCTCCCTTTCACAGCGGTGTTCTACTAAAGTGCGCTGCCTGGATGAAAATGCAGGCCAGCCGGTCACATCCCCGGGCTCTGCCTGTTACGAGACTCCCATTTCCCAAGGAGCACTGCCACTTTTAGAGTTATTACCTGACACACAGGCCTCCTGCTTTTGTAGTCATGCTCTTGTCACTGTTTCAGGACCGTGGTAAAGTATTATTGTTCCCACGTAGTCTATTCACTTCTAACCGGTGGATTTTGGTTTCCAGAACTGCAATTTATGCCCCCCTTCTGACTTTGGTGAAGACAGAAGGGGGGCATCTTGTTGCTAATTAGTCACTGCAGTTTAGACTTGTGCTATTGGTGGCACTGAGATCACGAAAGTGTTTATGGCAGTAGCATAATTTATCTGAATAAATGACAGTCACTTATAAATATCCAAGAGCTTCACAAATTCTAGCAGAAAGAAAAACAAGGATATCAGCAAAAGAATGCAAGCAGGCGCAAATTGTCTGCAGTATAACCAGGAATCTTTCTTACACTGCAGAAAAGGTCATTTTTATTTTTGGTGGTTTTATCTTATCGTAGGGATGTTCATAACCCTTACTCTGTGTTATGTGTCTGCAGACGTGAAGAAGAAACAGAAGGGGAAGAAGAAGAAGGAGGAGGATAAGGAGCGGACCGCTGAGGAGGAGGAGGAGCTGGAGAAACAAAAGGTCAGAGTTCATCACATCTGTTGGGATCTCATTTCCTCTGTGGATCAGAGCGAGAACATCTTAAACTGTGTTCTTGTGTGTGTGTGCAGGCGGAGATGGCTCTGCTGATGGAGGACGACGACGACAAACACCAACACTTCAACTACGACAAGATCGTGGAGCAGCAGAACCTGAGCAAGAAGAAGAGGAAGAAGCTGCTGAAGAAGGGCGAGGAGTCGCTGGAGGACGACGACTTCCAGGTCTGTGTTGTGATGTTTGATGTGTTGTTTAGGACGGCTGGACAAACACTTTAATTTAGGGATCAGGGGCCGTAATACAGAAAATTTCCTTTACCTTAAGTCTTAATCCTATCTTACTTCATCTTATCTTATCTCAGGTTAGGAAATCCTAAATACTCGATCCAACATCGGTTATCAACTTTTATGTCTGTTACCTAGCAGCCGAGCTAAACTGCTTTTAATCACAGATTTTGTAATGAAACGCACTGAAAATGGAGCAGAAACAACAACTATTATTGAACTTCAAGTCAGATGACTTGGTGTTTGTAACCTCTGTTGAGAAATCCAAATTCAAGTAACGCTTATCTGGGGAGATTAAATAGTGGGCTAAAATAGACAAAGTCACCGTTGCATATCCAGCATCCAGCGGAGTGCTGAAAATAAGTTAATTTACAAGTGATACGAAAAGAAAGGCAGCTGTTGTGTCCAGAGAGCAGAGGAAACCTGGTGGTGGCTCCTCCTGTGCTCCCTCACTGACCCCGGCAGAAACCCGTAGGCTTCTCTTCTCAGGAAAGTTAATCATGAAGGTAAAAACAAAAAATAATAATAAAGGCTGCGGGCTAACGTCATTATGTTTTTCTTGAATTTAACGATCTCCTTCTATCAAAGACTTGCATTTGGATCCTTTTGTTACATCAAGCCTTTACATTATGTTACATAATGAGACATTATCTAGTGTTACATCGCCTACTGCCTTTCTACTAACGCGGGTTTTGTCATCAAACACATCGGTAGAATCAATTAAGTTCCGCTTGTTGACATTTTGTTGATCTTGTTAAAGCATTAAAAGAGCAGCCATGTGGATTAAACGAGTTAACAAACACCTGTTGGAAAAGTAAAAGTTAGGACAGCTCGAGAGTTTATTTAAGATTTTAAGTTAGGATGCTTCTGTAAAACACTTAAAGTTAGGAAAGGAACATTGACTTAGGCCTTTACAGATTAACAGTTCCTTTTTCCTAAATAAGAGACACTTGATGGAGTGTAAATGCTCACTGCAGTTCAGTCAGGAGCTGAGATATGCAGGAAGTTAGGAGCCGAGGAGCAGAATCCAGGCTTCTTGGGATTCTTGATCCTAGATGGATCTATCTGCAGAAACTCTCTGCAGGTCGATTTTCATAGAACGTCTATTTGCTCTGTTGTTAAATGGCTGTAACATTCACAAGTGTGATTTAAATGTTTAGCAACAAACCCTTTCCTGTCTCCATGCGTCCAGGTGGATGTTAAAGACCCTCGTTTCCAGGCCATGTTCACCTCCCACCTGTTCAACCTGGACCCGTCCCACCCCAGCTACAAGAAGACCAAAGCCACTCAGAGCATCCTGACCGAGAAGCAGCGCAGACGAGAGGAGCAGCAGCGCCGGATGGAGGACACGCTAAGCGGTCAGAGCGTCACGCCCACACAGGAGGAGGCAGCCGCCGCTTTACAGGAAGAGGCAGGAAAGAGACGGGAAAATGACTCGCCGAAGAAATCCATGGACCCCGGTCTGTCTCTGCTCATCAAGTCGATAAAAAGCAAAACGGAGCAGTTTCAGGCTCGGAAGAAACAGAAGCTCGTGTAAGGAAACAAAAACTCTCCTGACAGACTGAGACTCTGGTTCGTCCTGAAATCACAGGCTGCAAATGTTGACTTGGTTTCTCCTGATGACGCTTCAGCCTGGACTGCGGTGTTTCTTTCCACGTTTGCACAGAAAATGAAATGAGGAATTGAGCGCATTGTTTTTGTTTGTTTTTTTAGTAAAAACACAATCCTGCTTTCTCAGATCGTGTGGAAATGTTTTATTTTTTCTACATGTACAGGTTTGTACAGATATTCTTCCCAGCTCAGTTTTACAAAGCCCCGCAGGAATTTAAAAGTCATTGTAGTTTCACATGATAACAGTAACAGACTGGGCCTCAAGCGAGAAGCAGCTGTGCAGACAGATTCTTTTTAGATTGATCATTTCTGTGAGGTCTGGTCGTACAAGTCTCTCTCAGAGTGAGACGTCCTCTCTCCAGCCAATCAGCTCCAGGTGGCGCTTTCTTCCAGTTAAGCCTTTTATAACTAATTAATAATTTAAGCTTTTAAACTTAACCTATTCTTGAAACAAGATATTCAACAGAGAAAGCCAGTATTTGGATCTAGTAGCTAGTAAAACAAAAAGGTATGTCAGGTTTAGTAGCTACAGCTGTTATTTACGTGTCAGATACTTATTTAATCAACATTTAGGTAGAGAGATCCAAAATTAAAAGGACACTTAATCGGGACATCCCTGCCGTCCCCTTTTTCTCACAGTACTCAGAAAAAGTTGTTGGCAGCTGTACTATCGATATTTTCTAATCTTCAGTACAACAACATGTCCTAATACGACGACTGAGTTGTTCCAGTCAGAGTTAGTTGAATCCAACTCATCTGAGCCTCATGCATGAGACCGAAATATCTGGAACCAAAATGTGTGTTTTGGATTGGTCCCCAGATTTGACGGATCAAACAGTAGATCAGAGTTTGGATACTCTGTGAGCTACGGCACAGTGCAAATGATTTAATGTAACAGATCAATTATTTTTCAGCTTGATGGCTGCATGTCGTCTGCTGCGCTTCATCAACAGCTCAGTATTCCTCTATGCAATATTTAAAACTGATCTGCTGACCAAAGAGAGCAGGAAATGTCAGCAAATCTGGCTGACTTGTTTTTATTGGATCGATAAAGAAGGCCCTGCCAGGTGGTTTGATCAGCAGCATGATATTGAAGGCACTTAATCACCGGCTATTCGAAATCTATCTCCTATACAAAGTATTTGCACCTGAAGTACAGCATTAGTTTAGTGAAAGATTAAGTCAGGTGCGCACATGAACAGTTTCTCCTTGTTGTCATTCCTTCTGTTTAAACTGGACATTAAATGATCCTTTCTTCAAGGACAATTCTCCTTGTTGCAGGAAGATGACGGTAGAAATGAGGGAGATAAGTTTGTTGTACACAACAAACTTATCTCCCTCCAGGAAATAAGTTTGTTGTACACAACAAACTTATCTCCCTCCAGGAAATTGTTTTAAACTAAAAACACCAACCTTTGTAGATATCAGCTTATTGCTAAGTAACAATCGAGCCTGCTGAAGCTTCAGATAACATTTTGTCCCCCATCATTACACTGAAAGCTCATTATAAAAGGCATCTTTTAGTGGCCAGTATGAAAAGAGGACTACAGCTAGAAAACCAACATTAATGAGCACCTGGCCTGTTTTTTAAGGCTTGTTATGTCACTGGACGGCGCCGAGGAACAGTTAATGAAGCTCTCATAGTTTGCAAAAGTAATTAAAGTGTCAATTACTGATTGATTGTAATCGGTTGCCAAGATGTATCAACATCATGACCTTGTGTTTACGATTACAGCTTTTGAAATCACACCTGAGCCGTACAGACAGATTACCTGTCATATCGGATAGTTAAGGTTAATCACAGTAACAAAGTGTTGGTTGGCCGTCTGCTCCTACGGCCCGGGGTACTCAAAGACGGCAGCAGCTCCCATCCCTGTGCCAATGCACATGGACACGACGCCGTACGCCCTATGGTCAGGACAACACAAGACAGTAACTGTGAGAAAACTCATCATTTAAACAAAGTCTTCTGTGTAGTTAAGAAATGATGAGTGTTTGACCGCAGACGAACCTCCTGCCTCTGCGTCTGAGCTCGTTCAGCAGCGTCACCACCTGTCGAGCTCCGGTGCAGCCCAGAGGATGACCCAGAGCGATGGCGCCTCCGTTAGGATTCACCTTCTCCAACGGGATCCCCAGCTTCGCCACACAGTACACCGCCTGAGCAGCACAGGGGAAAAAGATAGAAAAATTTTCCCATTTACACAAAGTGGTATTCTTTTTCTACCGAGCAGAGCTGTGTGCTACGAGTCGATTAATTGATAAGTTGTTTACTATTAAATTAATTGATTTTTTACAACAACAACAAAAAAAATGGGTTCTTTTATATTCAATTTTATGGACCGAACAACGAATCGATTACTTGATAAAATAACAACAGAACTTTTTTTTCCTCTATGACATTAAACTTTGGGCTTGCCATTGGGAAACGCTGATTGACATTTTATTGACCGAACGAATCGATCAATGGAAATAATCTGCAGATTAGTCGACTATGAGGATAATCGTTAGTCTCAGCCCTACTGCAGAGACTTCAGCTTAACGTCTCATTCCAGAAACAGAATCTCAGTTACTCTAGACCAGTGGTTCTCAAACTTTTTTACATCAAGGACCCCTAAACTGACATATTAGACCATGGACCCCCATTTGATAAGATTTTGTCCCAAGGTCCCTCATCTGATTGCATTTTTACTTTTAGATGTTTTATTAAAGAAAGTGTATGAAACCTATGACTAAAATAATCATACATTCTGTCTTTGTTTTAGTTAAAGAAGTGGTATTCTGCTCATTTTCAGGTTCAAAATCTTATTTAGGGGTTGTACCAGAGCAGGTTTTCATGGTTTAATTTTCAAAAAACACCATATTTTTTTGTCATACTGCACATTGCTGCAGCTCCTCTTTTCAGCCTGTGTTGAAAGCTTCGTTTTAGCTATGGAGTGATACATCTTGTCTCTAAATGATCTTTGTTGGGAGTTGCACATATGCAGTTTCTAGTTAAGGACTACTAGCCAATCAGGAGAGAGAAGAGAAGCAAACAGGCTTTGTTTCAGGTGTACATGTTGCCGACCAGCTTGGCAACATGGACTGGAGCAAGAGTTTCGGAAACCCACTCTGAGAACCACTGCTCTAGACGATCCACAACCTCACTATGATTGGTGTTTTTTTCCCCTCATTTTCACTAGAAACAAACAAAGGTCCACTGTGGGTTCAGAATAACAGGGATGTTGTTTCTAGAGAGACTAACAAATGTAGAAACAGAATTACATTTGACTGGATGCAGGAATCTGAGAGACGAAAGTCTCAAACAAAAAGACGCAGCGTTTTTTGTGTGTTTGGTGATTTGGGTGAACTGACCCTAAAAAGAAGCAGTGAGAGAAAAATCCCCTATATGTGTCACTCACCTGACTGGCAAATGCCTCGTTGATTTCAAACACGTCAATATCAGCCACAGTTAATCCTGAAGGGGGGGAAACGGGTTCAGAGTCAAGTACAAATACACCAACATGACTGAACAACTGCAAGCGCTGTATGAAATCGTTGACTTTTACTGGATGCTGACGTCCCTACATCAGTGACTATAACAACACATTCATAAACAAGCCCACATTCTTGCCTGTGTACCAGTGTTATTATATTAAACTAATGAAATAACAAAAACAAGGTGTGAATAAACGTTTTCGTTAGTTTTCGTCTTTGTCGATTTATTTCATAGGGCCTACAGAAGCCAATTATTTTGGGTGGATTTGAAGTTTATCTTCCAGTTTCTCAGCTGTGACAGTTTTTAGCCCATGCCCTTCCCCTGGCATCATGGTGGCAAAAGTCGGGAGTTCCAAAGACTAAAACAAACACTGAAACTAATTAAAACTGAACTAAAACTAAGCATTTAACAAAAAAAAAAAAGCTAAACTTGCAAACCCGCTTTAAAAACTAATTAAAACTAAACTGAAATTTAAAACAAAAAGTCAAAATGAAATAAAACTAATAACCTTGCTCGTGTACTTGGAGGATTAATGAGAATATTCAGTAGGAGACACATTACGGCCGAATCATCTCTGACCAACAATGAACATCGTAGACGACATCGTTTGTCTTTTACAGCGGTGGGTCAGCAAAATATACTTGAAGTACAAAAAGTAAATGTTATGACAGAATGGCCTATTTCAGAATGACATCTTATTGATTTATGTTATGGCTGTGTTCTAAACCGCCTACTACATTCTACTGGGGACCACAGTTTGTACACTACAGATTATATTTTTAAAAAAAGACATTGTTGAACAGTCCACGAGGTAGATGGATCTGATGCAGACTGGAGATGTTTTTTAATCAGTACAACATCCAGTTATTTTTAGCATACTGCATACTACATTTAGGCCAAACTACTAGTATAGTCAGCGGCTTCAAATACAGCCTGCTAATTTACTACTTTAATGTTACAGCTGATAAAAGGGTGGGGCTTTTTGTTTTACTGTAAATTTCACCAAGGGAGCAATTAAGTCTTAATCCACAATAATACATCACTCAACTGAATCTAAAAAGAAAATTATCAGACAAATGTATCTGCGCCGGACATTTAGTTAAGTATAAAGTACCTCACAATTGCATTTCAGGAGAGAATGAGTAAATGTAAGTAAAAGTGACCTTCCACCCCTGTGAGGTCGTTCATGTTTGTGGCAGAATAAGCAGTATAGTTGCATGTTTGATGGCCTGTCTTAAGTTTTATTTACACGTTAAAAGGAATCATTTAACTTAACTAAAATGAGCCTGTGAACCACATTTCCATCACTTCAGATGTCATTACATTGACTTACACCTATGTCCTGGACCGTGTTGGGCAGTAACGCGTTACTGTAATAATATTACTGGAACTGGTAGTGTAACTAATTACTTTTCTAAAACAGTAATGTTATTACAGTTACTAATCCAAGTAAGGCTGTGTTACTGAACGCACCATCCTTGATGTGAATGTGCGACTGTGCGGCAGCTCAGCGGCCCCGGACCCTCTGTTGTTCATGTCCGCTGATAGCCAAAAACTAAAGGAAGAATGGAGAATGAGGGAGAGAGGCGTTCTTTTCACACTACTGTCACTGATGCCTGGCCTCGTCGGGAGAGAGTGGCGTTAACGTAACATTTTGTAAAAATACTGAATACTGCTCTTATAAACAGGCTACAAATGCAGAAAACGGCTGTTTAAAAGTCGGGATTTACTTGCTTAATTTATTTATTGCAGCCAGTGGTGTTAGGAAACGTTAGGCCTAGGCTATATGCTTTGAAAAACCGTACTCCTTACTGTTATGAATATGATATTAGTTAAAAAGACCGACCTTTTAACTAACTGCTTTGTTTGGGGGTGAAGGTTAGTGGTAGTGAAAGCAGTGTTTACCAGAATTAGCCTATAATTAATTATAAATGCTGACACCACATATTGGTTTTCTCTTTTTTTTTTTAAACTAGGCGTATTTAAAATCATTGAAATTCATGCAAAATCATCTTCAATTATTGAGGAGCATATAGTCGCGTTCGCTCCCTCTGTCTCTCTGTCTCTCTCGTGGACACCGCGGCACAAACCTGCCCAAAGTTAGAATATAACAATAAATATATAGAATATATAACAATAAAGCTAATTTGAATTGAATTAAAGTAATAATATTACTTTTTTAATGGAGTAATAAGTAACTAGTAATATATTACAATTTCTGAGTAACTTGCCCAACACTGGTCCTGGAGACTCACTCTGACCTTAAACCAAGTCTGCGCCCTGAAATGTTTTGATTTATGTTATCGGAACTTGCATTTTGTCCCCAAAAAGGCGGCGAGAAACAGATTTATGTCCTGACAACATGAGTAACACACACACTTTACCTGCCTGCTCCAGAGCTGCAGGGATGGCGAATGCTGGTCCAATACCCATAACATCAGGAGGGACCCCCACAACCGCACTGGCCCTCAGGACTCCCAGGACCGGCAGACCCAGAGCCTCGACTGCAGACCTGCGACCAATCAGCACGGCCGCTGCTCCGTCGCTCACCTGGCTGGAATTACCTGAGGCAGTTAAGTGTGAGAGTGTTAGTAACAGCTGAGCGATGAATCAGTTCACCTGCTGCTCCCAGCTGAACACCGACCTGCTGTCGTGCTGCCGTCAGGTTTGAAGGCCGGCCGGAGTTTACAGAGTCCTTCCAGAGTCGTTCCCGCTCTGATCCCATCATCCTTACTGACCGTCACCTCGTGCTCTTTTCCCTCATCGTCTACCAACTTAGTGGTGACAGGAACGATCTCCTGGTCGAACAGACCCAAGCTCTGCGCCCGGGCGGCTCTGTGGGAACCAGGGGGTTAAAAACAGTGGTGTATGGAGACACTACTGTGAACTAACAGGTATAACCATGAAACTTCACTAGCTGATTACCAACGTTAAGGCAATTCTTTTTTTGAAATGTTTAAATATGCACATGAGGCATTATCTAATGCAAACCTTTGGTGAATTTAGGAAAAATCTACAGACATGTAGTAAAATGTGTATTTTAGGTGTTTTCTTTCCACTAGTGTGACAGAACAACGACTCATCAACACAGCCCGAAGTCTGCAAGGGGGTCAGAGTGAACCTCCACCTGTGTGCCAATTTAATAATCACCTCCTGCAGATTACACACGTGTTGCTATACAATTACATGACAGACATTTTCCATCATCTGGGTACAATCATGAGAAACTATTGACGATGTTCGGAAATGCTTCATAAACTTACCACATGCTCTTTGACATATAAACAAACCTTTCATCAATATTTTATTGATATTACACTTGTTACAGCATTAAGGAGTCACAGTTCACGTGTGTTTTCCCCCTCTTAAATATGCAAATGTTAGAAACCAGATGATCTCTAATCTAATCAATATTAACAAAAGTGAAATGTATATTTTGCACTGTTTTGAAGTTTCGTTGTTCACCATAACAGACACACAGACAAACCGTCTTCTCAGCTGTGGTGGAGTTTTAAAAACTTGACTCACTCACTTCTGCTGAGAACTGAGAGCGAAGGCGTCCTGCTTTTCTCTGGAGACCCCAAATCTCTCGGCGACGTTCTCTGAGGTGATGCTGCGGAAAGAAGGAACGCACACATGAACACGTTCTACGTCTACAAGCGCATCAGAAGGATGTTAGTGTCCGTCTGATGATAACTGCACTGCCGAGGGTCTGATCACAATAAAACAGCAGCAAGGAACTAATCAGATCAGTGAAGCGATCAAACATACATATTAGATGTAACAGGTTTTGGAATTATACCAGAGATGTTGTGGGTATCAACGGTTTCATCTGGAAATTACAACTCATTTTGAAGGCTTTGGTATTGTAACAAACATTTGTGCGAGTTTTAACACATGTTTAAGGTTTCTATGAAAGAATTTGGTGGCACACAACACAATTTGGGATTATAACCAGAGAGCAAATGATTAATCGTTTGGCCGATTAACTGCCGTCAATAGGAAGTTTTTCAAACTATTGTTATTGGCGGAACTTGGCTCCGATAGTGGCCGTTGGGAAGTACATCAGCGTTTTACATGGAGGCTCCATACAGAAAGTCAAGGTAATGTTGTGTATGAGTTGGTAATAGTGTAGTATTATTAATGCAATAGATTGAAGATAACTGGCCCACTTTTTTCTGAACATATATGATTAACTCCTGATAATAACCTGAACAACGGTTAATGACGAGCAATTTTCGAGCAAAACACCCTCTTATCTTTACATTATCTTTAAAAATATCGGCCTTTTTACATCCACTATTAGTCGACCTTTAATAACTAGTACATTTAGGAACTAGCAAACCTGGGTAAAGACAAGCGTCAGGATGGTACATTTTGTTGTTTGTGGGATTATATAGATACAATTTAGGGCTGTGTACTTTCCAGAATAAAATAATTCTGGGGTAAGAGCACATTTTGGAGAAAATACATTGTGTGGCACTTGATCTTTTCAAAATATATAAACACATTTTAAGATCATTTCACAAAAAGATCATTGTATCATTTGGAGGTTTATCAAAATTTGGGATTATAAGAAAATACATTTTGGGAAGGCTATATAACTAATTTTGGGGATTATAAAAATTTTCAAGATAAACAACTCTGATATTATCTGCTAATTTTAGTTTTTTAACTTATATAAATATATTTTAGGTGTAAAACAAAATCTGGAATTATACTGAAATCATATTTTGGGATAAAAACAACGAATCTGGGGATTAAAGCAAATTTAGGGATAAAACTGTTAGGAAATTACAGCATTTTTAAGATTGTGATTTATAATACAATTTGAAGTTACTTTATATAGATATGCCAGACTATTGGAGCACAAAAAAAAACATTGGGGATGTGGGACTCTGCTGGCACTACAGAAAATTTAGGTTTATAACCTTTAATTCAAATTCAATGACCTCTAAGCCTTCCTTGAGTTATATAAGGTGCAGTATTCTGCAGTATGTGCTCTGTTGTGTGAGCAGCAGTGGTCTCACCCCATCGGGATGATGCAGTCTCTGGCCTTGTCGTTGTCCATCAGCCTGGAGCTCAAATCTCCTGGATTACCTATTGACCGCAGAGACATGCTCTCCACACTGACACACACAGACATGCACACACTCAGTTTTATACTCTGGTCCTGAGGAAACTTTATTTTAACTGTATTTTTTATAGTTTTAATGTCAAACGTACCCACACGCGAGGCCCAGGTCAATGGATCTGCTCCTGATGGCTCCTGCACAAACATGGTTAAAAACAGGATCAATACCTGGTCTCGTGTCTTCTTAAAGGTATAAATTGACATATGAAGTCCAGTTATTACCTGCTATGTTAAATAGAGCCTGCAGTCCAGAGGAGCACTGTCTGTTGACGGTGTAGACAGGTACACTGTCTGGAAACCCGCTGAAACAAGCACAGAGCAGTGAGACACACTGCCACTGAATGACAGATGATCAATGTGGGAATCAATGATGATGATGAGTCTAACCTCAGGAAGTGAGCCACCCTGGCCATCAGAGCACCAGCGCCCGGCTGCAGCACGTTACCTGCAGACAGCAGCACACGGGTCAATAAACAAAGCAGGAGAACTGCGAAAATCTATGGCAGAGAAAATGACTACAAAGATGCAAAATGACCATAGAGAAACACAGTGCGACAAAACAGGACTACAAAGAGACGCAAAACAACAAGAAGCAAAATGACTACAGAAACGCAAAATAACCATAGAGACAAAACAAACACGAAACAACTATAAAGAAACACAAAAAGACTATAAAAGAGAGACAAACAACCACAGACACAGAACGACTATAAAAGACTGAGCTCTCACTGTGCTCAGTCATGATTAAGTATAAATGGTGACGATGTAAAGAATGAAAGTCTCGTCTCACCCACACAAACGTCTCCCAGTTTGTTGGGCGAGAGTCCAACATCTCTCAGCACAGCCGCCATCACCGCACTCAGCAGCTCGTCAGGCGTCGTGTCCTGAAGGAAACGAGGAGGGTTCAAATAAATCTACAACACCTGCACCAGAGGTAGCACTCAGATCTTTCACTGCAGTAAGGCAAGGCCAGTCTATTTGTATAGCACAATTCAACAACAAGGCAATTCAAAGTGCTTTACATTAAACATAAAAGCAACATATAATTTATAAAAGGGTGAAATAGAAAATAAAAACAGGATTAAAAAAAAACAGGCTGAGTGGTTGAGCAAATACTTGAGTTACAATTAGAAAGTGCTATTTCAACAATGTAGAAATACTCTATTTAGATCATGTATCATGTATCAAAATGGTTTGCTGCATCATAATGATGAAGCTGACCCTCAGTGCGTCAGCTTCATCATTACCTTTTCGACCCTGAACTTTAGCCCACCTGGCAGGTGTGCACACCACAGTTACCTTTAATGCTCCTCTCTTAGCTTTCCCGATAGCGGTCCTGAGTCCATGGACCACCACCACGTCCTCCGGGCTGCTGCTCCGGGCTGCTGACCCGCACTCTGTCCTCCGCAAATCCCGCCTGTCTTCAGAGGATCCTGCGGGAGACAAGTGGCCCGAAATGATCTTTAATCTGTGCATTACGGCGAGTTGTTAGTCTGTGAGGTTCCACGGCTGCAGACGGCCTGTAGTGTGTTTGTACTCTGCTCTACAAAGTGCTTCACTTCCTGGTTGATTGTCGGTGCGGAAAGACATCAGGGACAAACCTTCTTTTTTTTTGTGAAGGATTGCAACCATGACTTTAAAGGTGCATACCGCCACCTACTGTACCGGAGCATTTAGCATGGACTATATGTTAGATGGGACTACTTTACATCATCATAAAAATACAAAATACAAAATATAAATCGTGTTGAAGAAATATTGTGAGCCAGGTTCAGATGTGAAGAATTTCCCGAGACTGATGAAGACTTAACATAGCATGGTTTATCGAGCACAGCTGAGGACATACAGTGCCAGCATACAACATGAAGTGCCAACACCAAATCGGAAGGATACCATCTCTTGGTCCCTTTTATGTTTCCGTCTTCCCCAGGGGCTTTGCTAGACATTAAGCTCTACTGGGGCACAGGCCCCCTCCTCCCCAGTGTACATTTTTGATTTATTTCTGACTGAAGTGTAGGAAATGTGTTAGTATGTGCTTTAATCTTCCCCATAGTTCCTGTATGCTTTGCTGTGAGGTCATCTTGAGCTGGCCTTAACCTAGAACAACAAATCTATCTGATGTTTAGACTCCAATGCTACGTCATATTCCAATCTATTACTATCCATGAGTTGTACCCTAATCTGCGGAGCCAGTAAGTTCTTGTAAACATTGTTGTGTGATATCTGACTTTTATTCCCCAAAATCTTTATTTGTGATATATAAGTATTTCCCAACCATACAAACATATAGAACAGCAAGGCTTTATTTTCCATAAACCTTTTTTTACATTCATAATAAGGTAAACTTTAATTTTAATACTTTTATTAAATTATATATATAAGGAGCATTATCTTCATTCTTCAGCAGTTATTGATTGTTGTCAGACGGATATCTTTACTGTGTCATCTATTGTTTGTAATTTTGAGACTCTAACATTGAATTACACAACCAAAAGGTTGAAGATTTTCTCCAAAGAAATAAAAAATAATTCATAGGAGTTAGAACTGGGAGAAGACTGATTACTGACCTGTCTGTCACCATCAGCTGACCCATTGCTATTACTACATAGCAGTGTTGGAGTGTTTGCCAGTATCTTTCTATTTACTACAAATTAGTTAAAGTACTAATACCACACTGTAGAAATACTGTTGTTACAAGTAAAAGTCCTGCACTGAAAGTAAAAGTAAAAGTATGTAAGTATAATCAGGAAAATGTAGGCTTTTTAAATGGTCCCCTGTGACTAAATATATCTTCTTGTCTTGTTCTCATGGACCCAGTATTGTGCATCGTCACGTCTCAGTAGCTTAGTGTATCTTCACATCCTTAGTGCCCACTACTTTTCAAAACAAAGTGATACCCTTTGGCCAAATGCTGTGCCAAGGAGTGTGCCGCAACTTCTTACAGCTTCAGCCGGAGGGGTCTCAATGAGGGAACCACTAAAAGTTGTAACTCTTTCTCCAGGAAGATTCTTTTGGGTTTCACTTTAAGGATTAACTGAAAACTTGTCAAATTGGAGACAAATATTGTCTTAACAATACAGTGAACGAAGTTACCTTTAAAGTCTTAAATTGAATATATTTAGAATTCATATTGCGTATTCTTGCATTTCTGTGAAATATAAGAAGAAAAGAATCTTTTGTTTCATCATTGTATGTAGAGTAGAACATTTTGGTTGGATGTTGAACATTATATAATTAGAACATATGGGCACTTCACTTTTAGGAAAAAGACATTCTTGTTTGTTTTGAAAGTAATAAAGTAAAAAAAATATATTTATTTTTCACAGTTGCTTTTCTTATTTGGAAAATTCAAATTCCAAAGAAGAAATGGGCAGACTCCAAACCACATTTTGGACATTTTACCAAGAACTACTTCCATAAAACAGCATGATCAAAAACAAACAAAAAAAGAAGGTAATCAAGACTAATAATGTGTTTCAAAAATTTCTTATGGACCAATGACACAGTATTTTGAACCTACTTTACTCTCTTAATTTCATATGTCCGGGAACTTTAATTATGTTCTTCCTTTTATAAATAATAAATAAAACAAAAAACACATGTTTTGTGGTAAAACGTAGTGAAGAATTAAAAAACTGCTTCAATGTCAACATTTATTTTATTACAAAGCTGATGTTCTGGTTGTTTCTTGTCAACAAAACTGTATCTAGATCAGTCTGTTGGTCTTTTGAAGTGACTGAACCCTAGAACTACTGACAAAAAATACAAGTCATGGATAAAATGTCAACAGTTGAAAGCGGAACGAAAAGTTTCCGCACTTCTGCTGTCGGATCTTAATAGGGTGACACTGGCGGAAATAAACATTACAAGCTCCAGTGTTAGTCGCATGTTTTGAATTAGCTTGAAGTTATTGATTATAATAGCGCCGCTAATTATTTAATTTGTAATTCAGCAACAATGTCTTCAGTTGAGAGTTTGAAAGAGTTTGTCAACGAGCGACTAACTGCTGCTGCTGAAGAAATATTCAGAGTTTTTAAAAACACTATCGTCGAGTACGAGGAAGAGATCGTTCGTCAGCGCAGACTGCTGGATATTGTTTGGAAACCCGAAATAAAGTTACACAGGATAGGTGAGTAAAGATTCATTATATAAGTAACACAAAACAGAGGAGATCTATTTATATATATACGCGCGCGCACACACACACACACACACACACACACACACACACACACATACTGACACTCATTTCCTCACGTCTCTGCATTCTTTCTTTCCCATCACAGTAGTAAGGTTAGCCTGTTCCTTTTGTTCTATGTCCCTCCAGAGCTCCCACAGCAACATGTCTGTATGGAGGAGGAGGTTCTGGCTGACCAGCAGCTCTGGATTCAGGAGAGGATCCCCGGTCTGGACCAGGAGGACCCACAGCCTCCACAGGTTAAAGAGGAACAGGAGGAACTCTGTACCAGTCAGGAGGGAGAGCAGCTTGTAGTGAAGCAGGAGACTGACACCTTTATGTTGACTTATGAGGAAAGTGACCACAGTGAAGCCGAACTGAAAAGTGACCACCAGCTCCTCTCTCACAACTGTCATGTAGCTGAGAGCCAAGATCAGAAAGAAGGCGAGCATGAAGACTCAGGATCAACTAGAGATGCAGAGCCAAAACTAAAGAATCAAGATCACAACAGCAGAAGCCCCAGAAACAATGTACACAAGTCTACCATGTCAGAGGTTCACCATGATCCTCACACAGGTAAAAACGCTTTCACATGTGACACATTTTCAGTGCAAGTAATCTATGGAAGATTTTATTGGACTTGGACAGTGCAATTTGCAAATATGTACAATTTACTCTGTACACACATATATTTTAATTTCACATACAAAGTGTTTTTTATGCATTTGTGGATCTATTTTTACACACAAAACAGTTTTTCCACATTTGCGGATCATTTCCTGTCAATTTGTGGGTCATGTTACATTTGTAACTTACTTTTTACACATTTGTGGAATTTTGTCCACTCTGTACCACAGAGATCTGTAAATGTGAGAGCAGTTTATTAGCTGTGACCTTGCCTCTCATGAGTTGTAAGAATATCCATTGCAGTACTGAGGGTCATCTGTAGGAGACAACAACTTCTGCTTCTGCTGGACCAATGGACTCTACTCAGTATAAATTTTCCTGTACAAGTGTATATAGTTTACTATTGAATACTTTATCACTGTATTTTTTAGGGGTGGGAATCACCAGAGGCCCCACGATACGATATCACTTTTTTTATGTTGCGATTCGATTTTATTGCGATTTTAAATATATTGAGATATTTTGCAATTTATTACCTTTTTCCAACTTCCACTTAGGTCCCCAAAGTCAAACTTTGTCAACATCTGTTTATCTAAAAAGATACATTTCTCTATTTGTTCATATCACTTTTTTAGTCCTCTGTATGGTCCTGTTAAGTTTTCTAGTGGACTAAAAAAGCTAAAGATTTTGTTATTCTAGTACCAAAAAGTTAAAACTCCCATCTGCAATTTATATAATAAAATATCGATACTTGGCATCCGTGTATCGATACAGTATTGCCATGGCAAATATCACGATACTATGCTGTATCGATGTTTTTCCCCCACCCCTAGTATTTTTTGTAAGGCTCATGGGTAGGGTTTACATGACACCTCAATACTGGAGATCTATCTTGGGGTGCCGTTCCCTACCAACCCAAGACTGACATTAGAGGGGACCTCTTAGACAAGATGAGGGGCAATGTTCACTTTATCAGACTAGCCCTATTGCAGCTAATAAATGAATAGTACTTTGCTGGACCATCAGGGGTCCTTAAGAGTAATATAGTAATTTTTAAAAATTTACTATTTAAAATTAAAAGAATAAATGGTTTTCACCATTATTCCATTTCTAAGTAACACAATGACAGAACGTATGACGGGTCATGGGTTTCATACACTTTCTGTATTAAAACATCTAAAAGCAAAAATCCTAACTGATAAGCGTGTCTGGGACAAAATCTTATCAAATGGAGATCTGTGGTCTTGTGTCAGTTGTGTCATTTAGGTTGATGTGAAAAATTATAACTCACCACTCAAGATTTGGGTAAAACACAAAAATACTGAATGCAAGGCAAGAGAATAAATATACTACTGTGTACCGTTCGTTCACATACCCGCTACACAAACATCGCACTGCCCTTAAAAGACTTAACTTCTCTGATTTTATAAAAGCACATGTCACATAGATATCCTCTGAAGAATGATGAGAGGAAGCCGGCCAAGTGTTTTGTGTCGCAGAGTGCTCACAGTGTGCGAGTTAAATTTAGCTGCGCATTGATATTAATGATTATGAGAACTTTAATATTAGCAGGCATTCATTCTGTTATGTGCACGTCAACATTACCTTATTAATTAATATTTAAACAATCGATTTTTGACATCTGTTAATCGAAAAACAAAGCCCACCTTTAATAGTTGAGCGTATTTACAAACCGTGTCACTGAACTATGAGGGCAAAAATTCAGATTCTGAAAAGTTACGTACGGTCGGGCTTTGTAAACAAGGAGCAGCGCTGGCCATATGATAGTAGCCTCCGACCCACACCCGCTGTGTTCAGCAGCATGTGGAGGCTTTCAAGTACTAACCTGTTTGATAATTCACCATGCATGTATTGCAGCAATGCATTCATTGTGAATTGTCTCCATAAATAATTGTGCATACATTTGAATATTTCTATATTGCATGATACATAATTTTTATTAATAATGATTTAATATGTAATATTTCTTATTGACCTTTTTAAATTTTATTCATCCATCGCATGATTAATGTCTTTCTGATGACTAAATGTGCCTAAACGGACAACATAGAATTTGGAAAATATGAAACAGAATCTGGCAAAATCGATTTCATATGGCCCTATCCACGGTCTTGTCGCCCAACATGTAAATGTAGCATAACTTAAGCTAGCTCCATCAGGAGGTAATAACTTAAGTGGCAAAAGATGTTTTTCAAGGAACGGAGAAGGTGACAAAAATAGTCCACGTATCCGTAACACACCCTCTCCACGATACTAGTAGTTTATGGAAGTCACGCCTGTTTTCTCTGTTTTGTGGAACATCCACTATTCTATGTGTAATGTGAAGGTATCTGGTGTGATTGTAGCTACTGCCGAGCCTCCTGACAACCAGGGGCAACTGGTCATTAGGGGCAGGTGGGGCATAGCCTGTGCAAACAGATTGTTATTTTTATTTAGTTATTATTATGATATATTTTACTATCTATAAATATAGCATCTTCCTCAATTGCATTTTATTTGTGTTAGTTATTTGTGTTCTCCCGATTGGTGTCCGTAGGCTGTTGTAGCATGCATGTGGGGCTAGCCCCTCTGTCACAATGCAGTATTTCTGTATTCAATGTAGATCACAAAAATTTTATGACAAGTGGGGCTAACTGCCTGTAGCCCCACTACAACGTCATTTAATTTTTGAGTTGATTGGCTTTCTGTCTGTCTGGCACCAACATTCATCGAGGGAAGATTGTTTTAGCTATACTTTAGCCAGCTAACATGTGACATAACTAAGTGTATTTCATACTGTAGCAGAAGTTTGAAACCCCTAATTTGAAGGAGAAACTGGAATTAAAGCGTCTCGGTATAGCCACTGGATATTGTCATCACTCAAACTGCTGGTAAAAGCAACCGTGGATTTAACTTAGAGTGGTTTTCGAGGAAACATTGGCTAACGACTAACGTTAGCATACAAAAGAAGGCTGTTTTTCATGTCTGCTATTTGAAAACAGACGTGATCACTGTTGATTACATTGCGGTAAATGTGAAACAGCACTGCGGGGCCATGGCTGACTTTCTGAACCGAGGAATATTGAGATGCATTTCCAAACGCTTTTACTCGTAATACCATGGGACAGCTGCTAACATTACTCAACGCACTGTCCGTGCTGTCCATTGAAAGCCAGCTGATTCAGCTGCTACCTGACTTCATTCCCAAAGTCATTGAGAAGTTTGCCCAGAGGAACCGTCGTGCTGTCTTTCTCCTCAAGTGAGCCCTCAGCTGTGGTGAGTGAAAGCATATTTATTTATTTTTTTTGGTGCTGGTCCGTGCGTTGTCCATATTGTTGGACTGGATTAATTGATAATATAGATGGTGACAAGTCTCAGTGTGTCCATGCTTACCTGTTAAGCGTGTTGTCATAATGTGTTATTATAATAATAATATTAATAATAATTACAATAATGTTGTGTCATAGAGTTGGTCTGTATCCTTAAAAAGTTGCCTGTGCACTTCATTGTGGCCTTCAGTGGTGTTCAGCTTGCTTATGGTCCTGTAGGCTAATTTGTTCTGAGCTTGGTTGTGTCGGCTTAATGCATTTTTTATTTAGGTTTATGACAGGCGTAATGTGTAAAAGCTCTGTCTCTCTCTCTTTCTCTGTCTCTCTCCCCTGCTGTGTTGGCCTATGTTTACAACCCCTGGTTCAAGCAAGCCAAAAGTGTTTTGTGGAGCAATGCTGTTGAATTGTTGAAAAAACACATCAGTAGTAAGAAAGAGTAGAGTTGTACTGGTAAAGCCTTTCTTTTGAAATGGTTAACGAAATGCAGTCCACCAACACCACAAAACGACTGGCTCTGAACACAGACACCATCACAAACTCTGACAAAAACTCCATGTAAGGATAGAAACAACAATAAAGTTTTATGTGCTATCAGGCAAAACAGAATCGGATGATGTCGGATGGAAACAGTCAACATCAGAAAGGGTGATTGTTATTAGTTCGCTGGCTTACACCGACCAGTTGCTAACGTTATCTAGTGCAAAGCAGGTAGGCGAGCTAAAGCCGATGTATCACGTTGGTTCAGTGCAGTCAATATAACTTAATCATGTAATGAGCATAGATTAGTTCAACATCAGCTGATAAAAATATTACCATAACTTTGCAGCGGGGGGTTGCCTGAGTTTCCAGCATGTTGTGTGAAGCTGTGTCCCTCGCTGTCCATTGCCGCTTTCACGTTGTGTTTTGGGTTAAGATCATTCATGAGTTCAAGCACGCGTATGAGCACACACCTGGTTGCAATCTTAAATCCACACCGCCAGTGGCTGCTGAAAACTACATATGACCCCTTTAATCGTAATTAAGATAAAATGTTGAAGTAATTGTGATTTTGATTTTAGGTCAAATTGTCCAGCCCCACCATCAAAGTAGTAGCCTGTTCCTTGTGTTCTCTGTCCCTCCAGAGCTCCCACAGCAACATGTCTGTAAGGAGGAGGAGGTTCTGGCTGACCAGCAGCTCTGGATTCAGGAGAGGATCCCCGGTCTGGACCAGGAGGACCCACAGCCTCCACAGGTTAAAGAGGAACAGGAGGAACTCTGTACCAGTCAGGAGGGAGAGCAGCTTGTAGTGAAGCAGGAGACTGACACCTTTATGTTGACTCCTACTTATGAGGAAAGTGACCACAGTGAAGCAGAACTGAAAAGTGACCACCAGCTCCTCTCTCACAACTGTCATGTAGCTGAGAGCCAAGATCAGAAAGGAGGCGAGCATGAAGACTCAGGATCAACTAGAGATGCAGAGTCAAAACAAAAGAATCAAGATCACAACAGCAGAAGCCCCAGAAACAATGTACACAAGTCTACCATGTCAGAGGTTCACCATGATCCTCACACAGGTATAAACTCTTTCAAATGTGACACATGTGGAAAACAGTTTCAATACAAGTCAGAATTTCAGAGACACCTGAGAATTCACACAGCTATAACATTTTCCACATGCAACACATGTGGAAAGGTTTTTCACTACAAGTCAGAAATGAGGAGACACATGAGAATGCACACAGGTGAGAGGCCGTATTCATGCAAAACATGTGGGAAAGACTTCACTACTACCACTTCATTGTTATGCCATACAAGAACCCACTCAGGTGAGAAGCCGTTTTCCTGCGAAACATGTGGGAAATCTTTTAGCCGGAGGAATAACTTGCAAGTCCACATGAAAACCCACACAGGTGAGAAGCCGTATTCTTGTGAAACATGTGGGAAAAACTTCAGAATCAGCAGTCATTTGCAACTCCATATTAGAACCCACACTGGTGAGAAGCCGTACCTTTGCAAGACCTGCAGGAAAAGATTCAGTGACATTTCAGCATTGAGAAGACATACAAGACTCCACACAGGTGAGAAGCCATATTCTTGTAAAATATGTGGGAAATCTTTCACTGTTAGTGGTCAATTGAAAACCCACTTAAGAAAAGAACACAGAGGTGAGAAGCCGTAGCTTTGCACAACGAAATTATGTGTTGATGTGCCTGATTTGACACAACACAGAAGGCAGCTGTGGAGACGCGTTCACCTGTGAATGAAATACACTTTTGCAAATAGCTACATCTCTCTAGTGAATGTATTGTATTGAATGTATTTTTCTAATTATACTAACATACTTTTATCTTAGTAACATTCTTTTACTTGTAACAGAATTTTTACAGTGAGGTATTAGAACTTTTATAAGTAAATGATCTGAGCACTTCATCCACCATTGTTGTAATAAATCCTGATGGTTTCATTTCCTTCCTGCCTGACTTATCTTCTGATTTAGCCTCATCCTCTCAGTATATGTTCTACACTCTGTGATTTTTAACTCCAAACATTCATCTGATTGACTTTTACTTAATAAAAACAATGACTTTCTTTAAGCCTGTGTGATCAAACCTCATTCTGATTCGAACTCCGTCATGTTCCTTCTAGTCAAACCGTGTGCATCGATAGATTTCTGCACTCTGTAATATTTCCTTCCACTAGTATCCATGTCCCACCTGTCCTGCCATTCACTAATACCGTGGTGATGGAAGGAAAACTCAGATATTTTACTTCAGGAAGAGTAGCAATACCACAGTGTAGAAATACTCTGTTAAAGGAAATGTCCATGATTAATAGCATCAAAATATACTTAATAAGTATTCATTTTATAGACTGGCCCATTTGCTTATAATGTACAGCATATTATATAACTGAATATTAATTTATGGTGCATTAATATGTTATACTTAAGTGAAAAATACAGACATGGTGACATATAAAAGGTGATAATATAAATATAAAAAAGCATAGTAAATATGGTATCATATGTTATCATACACAAATTACCTGTCAATCAGACACATAAATGAGGAAGTGTATAAAAATGGCTAAAAAGTGGTGTGTTCACGTTTAATAAGACTTATTTTATTGTAATATAAAACAGTCATGTTGTAAGAGCAAAATGAATCATCACCTTATACTGTGTGTACCTGTAGTATTTTATATGCTGTTATGAGAACCTAAGACCTTTCTTATAATCGGATTATTTGTTTAATCTGACGTGCATCTGTTTCCTGGGTCTACTGAATTTGTGTGAGATTGTTTTGTCTTATGGAGAATGAGGAGGACTCCATCTCGTGAGAAATAAGTTTCTCTTTCTGCCCCACTGTGGCTCAAAGTGAGGAAGCATCTTGCTAAAGTTATTGATGTTCCTCCCTAGACTCCCTATCTGTGTGGCAACAATAAATCTTTGTTTTCTTTTTCTTTGGTCAGACTCTCTGAATGCACTCCAGTGTAAATAGTAAATGGTCTGTACTTGTACAGCACCTTCCTAACATTTCCGACCACTCAAGTTGCCTTTACACCACGTCACGTTTACACAGTGACTTAGTATGTGAGACTAAAGTCTCTGCCATCAGAAAACAGATATACTCATTAACAGACAGCCATCAGGAGCAAGTTGGGGTTCAGTATCTTGCCCAAGGATTCTTCGACATGCAGACCGAGGGAGCCGGGGATTGTACCACCAACATTTTGTTAAGTGGACTTCCGTTGTTGCCCCCGAGCCAAAGCCGCCCTTTCAGCTGAAATAACTTTGTTACTGTTTTAATAAACAGCACAAAGACAACTGTAACATTCTTTATTTGTTCACTTCTTTCACAATGAAATCTACTATTTCCCTCACAGATGTCAGTAACCCTTAAATGTTCAACCTAACTTCTTTCAAAGATGTGTTCAAGCACGCGTACGAGCACACACCTGGTTGCAATCTTAAAACCGCACCGCCAGTGGCCTCTGAAAACTACATATGACACATTTAATTGAAATCAAGATAAAATGTTCAAGTAATCATGGTTTTGATTTTAGGTCAAATTGTCCAGCCCTACCATCAAAGTAGTAGCCTGTTCCTTCTGTTCTCTGTCCCTCCAGAGCTCCCACAGCAACATGTCTGTAAGGAGGAGGAGGAGGAGGAGGAGGTTCTGGCTGACCAGCAGCTCTGGATTCAGGAGAGGATCCCCGGTCTGGACCAGGAGGACCCACAGCCTCCACAGGTTAAAGAGGAACAGGAGGAACTCTGTACCAGTCAGGAGGGAGAGCAGCTTGTAGTGAAGCAGGAGACTGACACCTTTATGTTGACTCCTACTCATGAGGAAAGTGACCACAGTGAAGCAGAACTGAAAAGTGACCACCAGCTCCTCTCTCACAACTGTCATGTAGCTGAGAGCCAAGATCAGAAAGAAGGCGAGCCTGAAGACTCAGGATCAACTAGAGATGCAGAGCCAAAACTAAAGAATCAAGATCACAACAGCAGAAGCCCCAGAAACAATGTACACAAGTCTTCCATGTCAGAGGTTCACCATGATCCTCACACAGGTAAAAACTCTTTCACATGTGACACATGTGGTAAAGGTTTTCAGTACAAGTCAGAATTTCAGAGACACCTGAGAATTCACACAGGTGAGAGGCCATATTCATGCAAAACATGTGGGAAAGACTTTAGAACCAGAGATCACTTGCAACACCATGTAAGAACCCACACAGGTGAGAAGCCATTTTGTTGCGAAACATGTGGGAAATCTTTTAGCCAGAGGAGTAACTTGCAAGTCCACATGAAAACCCACACAGGTGAGAAGCCGTATTCTTGTGAAACATGTGGGAAAAACTTTAGAATCAGCAATCACTTGCAACTCCATATTAGAACCCACACAGGTGAGAAGCCGTACCTTTGCAAGACCTGCGGGAAAAGATTCAGTGACATTTCAGCATTGAGAAGACATACAAGACTCCACACAGGTGAGAAGCCATATTCTTGTAAAATATGTGGGAAATCTTTCACTGTTAGTGGTCAATTGAAAACCCACTTAAGAAAAGAACACACAGGTGAGAAGCCATATTCTTGCAAAACATGTGGGAAAGACTTCACTACTACCACTTCATTGTTATGCCATACAAGAACCCACTCAGGTGAGAAGCCGTTTTCCTGCGAAACATGTGGGAAATCTTTTAGCCAGAGGAGTAACTTGCAAGTCCACATGAAAACCCACACAGGTGAGAAGCCGTATGTTTGTGAAACATGTGGGAAAAACTTCAGAATCAGCAGTCACTTGCAACTCCATATTAGAACCCACACTGGTGAGAAGCCGTACCTTTGCAAGACCTGCGGGAAAAGATTCAGTGACATTTCAGCATTGAGAAGACATACAAGATTCCACACAGGTGAGAAGCCATATTCTTGTGAAATATGTGGGGAATCTTTCACAATTAGTGGTCAATTGAAAACCCACTTAAGAAAAGAACACACAGGTGAGAAGCCGTAGCTTTGCACGACGAAATTATGTGTTGATGTGCCTGATTTGACACAACACAGAAGGCAGCATACAGACAAGAAATCTTGTGGGAGACTATTCAGTTCTAGAGGTTTGTGGTCAAAACACACAAGAACTCATGGAAGTGAAGAACTGCATAAGTGCAGAATCATGTACCTGAAAACACCTGAGGATCAAAATACAGAGGAGAAACCATCGAGTTGAAACTCCTGTGGAGACGTGTTCACCTGTGAATGAAATACACTTTTGCAATAGCTACATCTCTCTAATGAATGTACAATGTTTTCTGTAATATGAGATTTCAAAATTTCCCTTCATATGACTGTATTACTTATATTTCTGTTTGTAGCATAATGTTTTTGAAACAATTGTGATCTCCAAAATGGAGGCAACTATGTAGTTTCCCAGTGAGTGCACAGTAGTGGCTGACAATCTGACACAAAATAGTTCAACCTCAACCAACAACAAAAGTAAAACCCTGCTTTAAATTAATGCACGAGGAATAATACTCTGATTAGAAGATATATAATAGTATAACAGTCACAGGGGACATTTATCAGATTTCATGCTGTGAGTACTTTTGCTTTTAATACTTTACGTGTATTTTTCTAATTATACTAACATACTTTTATCTTAGTAACATTCTTTTACTTGTAACAGAATTTTTACAGTGAGGTATTAGAACTTTTATAAGTAAATGATCTGAGCACTTCAGCCACCATTGTTGTAATAAATCCTGATGGTTTCATTTCCTTCCTGCCTGACTTATCTTCTGATTTAGCCTCATCCTCTCAGTATATGTTCTACACTCTGTGATTTTTAACTCCAAACATTCATCTGATTGACTTTTACTTAATAAAAACAATGACTTTCTTTAAGCCTCTGTGATCAAACCTCATTCTGATTCAAACTCTATCATGTTCCTTCTAGTCAAACCGTGTGCATCGATAGATTTCTGCACTCTGTAATATTTCCTTCCACTATTATCCATGTCTGGGGAGTCATGGTGGTGTGGTGGTTAGCACTGTCTTCTCACAGCAAGAAGGTCGTGGGTTCAAACCCTGGTCGTCCCGGCCCTTGTGTGTGGCCTTTCTTGCATGTCCTCCCTGTGTCTGTGTGGGTTCTCTACGGCTTCCTCCCACCCACAGTCCAAAGACGTGGACTAGGTTAATTGGTGACTCTGCGTGTTTGTCTGCGTGTTTGTCTGTGTGTGGCCCTGTGATGGACTGGTGACCTGTCCACAGTGTACCCTGCCTTTCACTCAATGCCTGGTGAGTGGTCTGAGGCAGGGCTGCAGGCCTCTACACATAAACGTGCTGGAGCTCCTCACGGTGTGGATGGTGATCTGACATTTCTCCCCTCAGCGGGGCGGGATCAGCATGTGCTGGTCTGCAGCCTACATAAACCGCCAGGATAGGTTGGGTCTGGTGGATGCTCCTGTGCACACTCACCTGCTCTCCATCAGAGCAGAATACATCCCTGGCTTGCTGAAAAGCGGGGCGGACATCATACCGAGGCTCCGGTTCGGCAGGGCAGAGGTGGATCTGTTTGCCAACAAGGAGAACGCTCAGTGTGCCCTTTGGTTTTCACTGAGCCCGAGGGACGTCCCCCTGCTGGGAGTGGACACACCAGTGTAGCTGATCCCGCACCTTCTAGATCGGCTGCAGTTTTCAACCTTGGCGGTGACTCTGGTGGCCCCGGAGTGCACCAGCGCATTCTGGTTTCCCTGTCTCCAGCGGTTGCTGGCGGGGCACCCGTGGAAACTCTCCTGGAGGGGGAACGCTCTCTCTCAGGCGGGGGATCAGGAGTTACCTGCTCCTCTGAGAGGCAACGCCTGGAGGGCTTAGGTCTCTCCCGGTTAGTTCGTCCAGGTCAGTGGCTGCAGCCTCAAAAACACTCCAGTCAGTGCAGTCAAAGCAGGCCTGTAAATCCAGCTTTGACTAGTTAGTCCATCTTTTCACAGTCTTTGCAATGGGTTTAACAGATTTCAGTTTTTGCCTGTATGTTGGGATAAGATGAACCAGACAGTGATCAGGGAGTCCTATGGCTGCACGGGGAACAGAGCGATAGGCGTCCTTTAATGTTGTGTAGCAGTTGTCCAGTTAGTGTCCCTGGTGGGACACTTAATATGCTGTCTGTACTTTGGGTGTTAATGGCTGAGGTTTGCTCTTTTGTCCCCAAGAACAATGAGCAGGGAGTCTGGATGTGTTTTCTCCACGTTAGTTATCTGGTCGGCCAGGTGACGTAACCCCTCACTAACACAGGCCTGAGGTGGAATGTAAACAGCGACCAGGACAAACGAGGAAACAGTTTACAGTTTATAAATAATGTCAATAAGGCCCCATCCACACTACTGCGTTTAAAACGGAAACCTTTTGCTGCGTTTGCACCTCCCGTCCAGACTAAAACGACAAAAACAAAGACCTAAAATGGAGAAGTTTGTGTACCCACCACTGCTGACAATAAACACAAGTTTTGGATAAAATGTCATAAATTAAAAGCGGAACGAAAAGCTACCACACTGGGGCTCTGTGGGTAAGAGGCCGCAATGTGTTGCACGTCAGTAAGAAAATGCAAGCTGCAATAGCTGCTGTGGAAAAATGGGCAAATAAATAGGGATTCAAGTTATCTGTTGCAAAAACACAGGTGATCTGTTTCTCAAGGCGGCATAAAGTCACGCCTATTTCCTTGAAGTTATATGAACAACCACTTGAGCAAGTCAAAACAATTCAATTTCTTGGGTTTGGTTTGATGAGAAGCTCACCTGGAATACTCATTTAGATAAAGTTAAGAACAAGTGTAAAAAGGTCATCAATATACTTCGTTGTCTGTCAGGAGAAGAGTGGGGAGCAAGCAGAGCAGCTCTACAAAATATATACTGGGCACTCATGAGATCCGTTTTTGACTATGGATGTGTAGCGTACATGTCAGCAGCAGAATCAAACCTTAAGAAGTTGGATGTATTACAAGCTCAGGCCTTGAGAATTTGCAGTGGATCAGTCAGAACATCTCCGGTGTCAGCAATGCAGGTGGAAATGGGAGAAATGCCGTTAAGAATCAGGCGAGTAAAGCTAATGTTGGCATACTGGGTTAATCTCCAGGGGCAATGTGATTCTCATCCTGCCAAGAGTCTCTTAATAGATTGCTGGGAACACAGACAAATTTCACAAGTTTTGGGTGGATTGGTGATGCAAAGGCAGAAGTCATAGGATTACGACAATTAGACTACAGCCCTACAGTGTCACAGTCTTCCATTCCTTCCTGGTTATTCCCAACACCAATTGTAGATCTAAACATACAGCAGGAATTGAAGGATATGTCAAAGAAACTTCCAGCATGCAGTATAGTACAGAATTACTTTGATTTACATTTTTCAGACTTCATGTTTATATTCACAGATGGCTCCAAAGATCCTGATACAGGGCGTGCAGGTGCAGCAGTCTTTATCCCAGCAAGTGAGTCATATATCAAGAAAAGAATATCAGATCATGTCTCAGTGTATACCACAGAGTTGACTGCAATAGTACTGGCCCTGCAGTGGATAGAAGAGAGGGAAACAAATAATACTGTTATTGCATCTGATAGCTTGTCTGCTCTAATGAGTATTAAATCTGGCAAATAATCATTTAGATCCAATATTCTCAATGACATATTCCTTATATTGTACAGGATGGAGCTAAAGGGTTTATCCACATGCTTCCTTTGGGTTCCTGCTCATGTTGGTGTGGAGGGAAATGAGCAGGTGGATATTCTGGCCAAAGGAACACTCAAAATCAAACATGTAGACCTAAAAACCCCATTAACTAAAGATGAAGCTAAGACATTTATCAGGACCTATGCACAGTCAGTTTGGCAGGAGCATTGGGACAATAGTGAAACTGGAAGGCACCTATATAATGTACAGAGACAGGTTGGTGCCGGAAGGAAGGTGGGCGCGGAAACGTAGGGAAGAAAATATAATCACTCGTCTGAGAATAGGACATACAGGTCTCAACCTTTCATTATATAAAATAGGTAAGCACCCAACTGGGAAATGTATATTGTAACCAAACGGTTGAACATGTTCTCCTTCAGTGTAGGAGATACACTATCAAGAGGGAACGCCTCTTTCAGTCATTACGGAAGGCAAAACATCATGATATCTCATTGACAGGTGTCTTGGGGAAAACAGCAGGCCAGATATATTGTCATATAATTAAGTTTCTTAAAGAAACTGAGTTAGAAAAAAAGAATTTAATTTATTTATTTATTTATTTTTTGGTATTGTTTATTTCATTTATTTCCTGCTTAATCTCTCGTTCCACACTCCAGTCCAGCTTGTGGCGGTAATGCACCGTTAAACTGGTTTGCCAACCGCCATTAAACCCTAAAGAAGAAGAAGAAGAAGAAGAAGAAGAAGAAGAAGCTCCCGCACTTCTGCTGTCGGAACGCAACAGTGTGACATCCGGCGGAAGTAAACAAGACAAGCTCCAGTGTTTGCAACGTCTTTAAATTGTGACTTTCGCTAGAATGAGTTATTGTAGTCGTAACTCCGCTAATTATTTTACTTGTAATGAAGCAACAATGTCTTCAGTTGAGAGTTTGAGAGAGTTTGTCAACGAGCGACTAACTGCTGCTGCTGAAGAAATATTCCGAGTTTTTAAAAACACTATCGTCGAGTACGAGGAAGAGATCGATCGTCAGCGCAGACTGCTGGATATCGTTTGGAAACCCGAAGTAAAGTTACACAGGATAGGTGAGGAAACATTCATTATATAAGTAACGTAAAACAGAGGAAATCGTAGGTCTATGTGTTATCCAAAAATGTTTCGTATTCATAGCCTCGCATGTCTGCATTTCTCTCTTTCCCATCACAGTTCTAACATTAGCCTGTTCCTTTTGTTCTCTTTCCCTCCAGAGCTCCCACAGAAACATGTCTGTATGGAGGAGGAGGTTCTGGCTGACCAGCAGCTCTGGATTCAGGAGAGGATCCCCGGTCTGGACCAGGAGGACCCACAGCCTCCACAGGTTAAAGAGGAACAGGAGGAACTCTGTACCAGTCAGGAGGAGAGCAGCTTGTAGTGAAGCAGGAGACTGACACCTTTATGTTGACTCCTACTTATGAGGAAAGTGACCACAGTGAAGCAGAACTGAAAAGTGACCACCAGCTCCTCTCTCACAACTGTCATGTAGCTGAGAGCCAAGATCAGAAAGAAGGCGAGCATGAAGACTCAGGATCAACTAGAGATGCAGAGTCAAAACAAAAGAATCAAGATCACAACAGCAGAAGCCCCAGAAACAATGTACACAAGTCTACCATGTCAGAGGTTCACCATGATCCTCACACAGGTAAAAACTCTTTCAAATGTGACACATGTGGAAAAGGTTTTCAGTACAAGTCAGAATTTCGGACACACCTGAGGATTCACACAGGCGAGAAGCCGTATTCTTGTGACACATGCGGGAAGTCTTTTAGCCATAGGGGTCACTTGAATCTCCATATAAGAATCCACACAGGCGAGAAGCCATATTCTTGCAAAACCTGTGGGAAGTCTTTCAGCCGGAGGGATGGTTTGATACTCCACATTAGAACCCACACAGGTGAGAAGCCGTACCTTTGCAAGACCTGTGGGACAAGATTCAGTGCCACTTCAACATTTATAAAACATATGAGAGTCCACACAGGTGAGAAGCCGTATCCTTGCAAAACATGTGGAAAATGTTTTAGTCGGAAGGGTGGCTTGAAAGTCCACATGAGAACCCACACAGGTGAGAAGCTGTATTCTTGTAAAACATTGATGTCTTTTTATGAAGCATCTCTTAATCATTTTTAGTTTAAGTTCAAATGGCTTAAAATCCATCTACATCAAGTAGTATTTTATAGTGTTGTGTGAAGCCC